TGCTCTGTATCTTTATTGGCATCACACCAGCCACAAGCTGAGCCTCAGCTTAAAAAACTATCAGTTCTATACAATATTTAGTCTTGGATGGAAATTTTCAAAGAGAGAATGGTATATAAAACCAGAAGATCGATTCATTCACATATGATGAGAGAGACTACCATCTAGCAATCAAGCTCTGTCAATACTTGCCCCGGGGTTGTCTGGTTAGTGTGTTGAGTCAGTGTGTTGAGAAATATTGGAACACAGTGGGGAGTGATTCCATCAATAATGCATGTCATTGCTATGTCATCAATAATGAAGGCTACAGGGCTCCCTTAGGACAGCTTGGCCAATATATCCAAACTGGCTTGATAAGGCATTATTATTTTCAGATAGGCACATCCATCTCTGTCTCTATGGCCTCATGGCTCTTTTTCAAGTCTTCTTTGGCTTAGCAAATCCCATTCTGGTTGATTCACCATCTTTTAGAGACAACTGGTAACTGTCTAGCCCCTCTGTCCTGGAAGCCATTCTTCTTGTTCTTTGATTATTAATGACTTTACATAGTTTCATTTTCATCTGTTATTTAAGGTTTAATTCTCAGAGTACCATATCATTTCCAAATTATTGTGCTGTCTCATGTTCTCTCCTATCACTTAAAACAAACTTCCTAAAATATAATCGCCATTCCTAGAAGTAGTAGAAAATTTTAAAATTTCTGTTGTATTATTATAGGATGTCAGAAAATAGTCATTATTACATTAATCTCAATATTTAACAACATCTCTGTATAATCAACCATATTTGACCAATACTTTATAAATAGTACAAATTATTTTAAATGAGAAATATTCAAAGAGTGAAAAGGAAAACTATTTCATAAAAATATTGAAATAGATATGTAGACAGGGATTGTAAGATTACAATATTTGAGAGACCCTCAAAAGTTCAGAGCCTTTTAAATTTTTATATTATATTCATTTTTTGTTTTCCTTTGTATTCAAGTTATATAAAAATTTGGCCTTTGTTTCTACAAATACTGACTGATGAATTATATGGTGACATTCCGAGATTTCACATTACCTTATTTTTTCTATTTTTCTGATAGAGACATTAAGAAGCAGCAAAGTAGTCAAATGTAAAACACCTACACAAAGAAGAAAATTCTGGAAAAGGAACATCCTAGATCATCTATTTCTGAATAACTGAGGGTTGGCACAAGTTCCTTGTATTTTCTGAATGGTCCACAGGGACTCTTTTGTCTTTAGGTACACTAAGCCCACTGTTTCAAATCCTCTCCAGTTTTAGGGAAACTTAGACCTTCCTGGTTAAATAAAAATACAAGCTGATTTCTCAGTTCATATAATAAAAATAATGTGTGCTGTCCCATGTTCAGGTGTTCTGAGTTTTTAAAAATATGCAGTAAATTTGATAATTAACTTTTGGATAAGGGAGCATGCAGGATATAGAACACACTTCGGGAAGAAAAAAAAACGTGTGGTGTTAGTTGAGTGGGAAGGCTGCCCAGAACATGTCCCTTGCTATAAGATTAGTTTGGGAATTAGGGATTTACGGTGCTTACCCCCATCTAGGGGAGACTTGGCAATATTCCCCAGAACTGCAAAGATAAATTGGTGAGAGTGAACGAAATAAGTAAAGCCCAGGGGCTGCTGGAAAGCAGGCTTTCCTGTCACTGTGGCTGTGATGTTGTAGAGAGTTCTGAAGTGCACAGCCCAGGTTCTACCGCTGGGCAGAGGACAGTTTCTGCGTGTTAGCAGCAGCTACTGACCAGTTCAGCTGCCTACGGGTCAGCCTGAGAAATGTGACATAAATATCCACCTCAGAAGAGGAAGTGGAACACACGTAAGTGATGGTGGCTCATGCACTTAGCTTCTTGCCAGAGAGTTCTGTGGCATATCTCCTCTCACAGTGTCCTGCATCCCATGGATCCCCGAGAATAAGGCTGGCTGATGGTGATGACAGTAATGGATGATGACGATGGTAAAATTTGGAATGGCATAATTGTCAATATTTTAATACAGGCAACATATATGATTTAGTATTGCTCCCCTTCCTTCCTTCATTCCACTATTTATTTCTCTTCATTTATTCCTTCTTTCCCTCCCTGCTCTTCCCTTTCTCCTTTCTGCCTTCTTTATTCTCTTTCTCTTTCCCTCTCCCACCTCCTATGCCCTAGGAGGGGTCCAGCTGGTCAAACAGCCTGGATTTCCTCGAGTCAAAGCAATTCCTTTTGTAGTACTTCTCTTGGAAACATAAGGAAAGAAAAAAAAAAAAAACTCAAACTCCCAAACTACCTAGTTACCAATTTGATTCCAGCTCTGCTGGGTGTCAGCCTTCTCAATTTGCTTTTTCTCAGCACTCAGAAACATAGATTTCAGGCTCCTTGTTCTGTTGTTGTTTTCTAATATGGCAGCTGAAGAATAAAGAAAATTTATATATTGTCAAGCAATAAAAGCAGAGGCTATGTCTGCTTATACTAAAAAAAACAGCCTGCTACTGAAGGAAAAATCTATTAAATGCTTTAAAAATGTTTACTGTGCAGATTTCTGTGAAGATTTTCTTTTTGTTGTCTGGGTAACATCAATTGTATGGAGGTACCTTATATCAAAGCCATGGATGGTCACAATAGACTTTTAAAAGTATAGTCTTTGGTATATTTAAGTCAAGTGTTTTTCTAGCTCAAGAATTAAACTACTTTGCAGTGAAATGGACATAACATCAGCCTGAGGTTGAATCCTGGACTCTGATCCTCTCCTTACAATCAAGTCTTCAGTATGTTACCCTAGTGAGTGCTGGACCCCATAATCTCTCAACACTAAATGCCAGAGAAGCCACAGGCTGGCCTCATATACTGACACCTGGAACAGGCCCAATGGCACAGTGACAAATAGAATTGGACTTGTGTGACTATGGCACAGCATGAATTTCCTTAAATGCAAGTAAGAGGAAATTATGAGTGCTGATGAGCACCCTCCAAGCCCCTACCACTCAAAACAGGCTAAAAGGAATATCAGTGTTAAAGTGTCTCCTCTTCAGCTTTTTTATCCCAGTCTACAGTTGTCTGATAAAATATAGGATGCCCAGATAAATTTGAATTTTATATAAACAATGAAAGATTTTTAGTATAACTTGTACCAAACAATATTTGAGCCATACTATAGTAAAATATTGTTGTTTATTTGAAAATCAAATTTAATTTGGCATCTTGTGTTTGTTTTCTTTATTGAATCCAGTTACCCCATAAATAAATATAACATACCTCTCCCAATTATTTCTTACCTTGCTTTGTCTTCTTTGCACTTATCATACCATTTGGTGTTATGTTGTTCATTCAGTTTTTTGTTGTTGTTGTTGTTGTTGTTTTATTTCGGCATATTATGGGGTTACAAATTTTAAGGTTTCAATAAATGCCCATTCCCCCCTCCCCCCACAAGTCTGAGTCTGTAGCATGACCATCCCCCAGATGGTGTACATCTCACTCATTATGTATGTATATACCCACCCCACTCCCCCCTCCCACCTGCCCAATACCCTATTACTGTAGTACCTATGTGTCCACTTAGGTGCTACTCAGTTAATACCAGTTTGCTGGTGAGTATATGTGGTGCTTGTTTTTCCATTCTTGGAATACTTCACTTAGTAGTGTGGGTTCCAGCTCTAACCAGGAAAATACAAGATGTGCTATATCACCGTTGTTTCTTAGAGCTGAATAGTACTCCATGGTATACATATACCACATTTTATTAATCCATTCTTGGATTGATGGGCACTTGGGCTGTTTCCACAGCCCTGCAATTACGAATTGTGCTGCTATAAACATTCGAGTGCAGGTGTCTTTTTTGGAGAGTGTCATTAGATCTTTTGGGTAGATGCTCAGTAATGGGATATCTGGATCAAATGGTAGATTCACTTGTATCGTTCATTCAGTTTTTACTGAGTTATTGTCCATGTTTCAACTCTATGGAAATGAAGAGGTTTCCATTTTGTCTCTTGCTGGAATTCTAGCACCTAGAACAATGCTTGGCACGTAGAAGTTACTCAATAAATATTGAACAAATTTATTGAATGAATGAATGGAACATCTATCTTAAAATCATGTTGTTTGTTCATCATATCTGCAAAGAAAATTATGTGAATAACTAAATCTATAATATCTACTGTGTGACTTTACTTTTGATTTTTTTCCTAATCAGGTTAAAACCTTTCAAAGATATGGATGATGCTACTATTTATGTATTATGTACTCACGGCGTGCCCACACTCTGTCATTTATGCTTAATACTCACAAAAACTTTGTGAAATAGGTATTGTTTTTACTCTCAGCTTGGCAATCAGAAAGATGAAACTTAGCAAATAATCACATCCAAATTCACATAAACCAATTATCAGGCAAGTCATGAGACCTCATTTAAAACTGTCATTGTCCATTAAAGAATTTTTCTCAGTGTGTATTTTATGTTATTATTATCTTATAGTAATGATAACTTAAAAGACACATGAACAATATTCTTATAATTATTTTCTTTTTATGACAATTTATTTTTACAAATCCTTGTTTAATATGCTGACAAAGAGTAAGGAAGAAAAGTTACCAGCAGATAACTAATTTAAATTAATCTTGGCTAACAGATTAAAAGCATTTTAGCAGTACATTTTCCAGAGGTGGCATTGTATAGGCTTTTTAAATTAATTTTTATGCACAAATTATAAATAATTAAGTACAGTATTTAAAAATACAATTTCCCAAGAGTTTTCATTCTGGGTTTTACTAATGCAATTCTACATATATTCAGAGAAAATGAGAAGAGAGGGCAGCAGCATGTTTTCTTATGTTATTCAATCTCCTACAGGCTTCCATCCAAACCAAGCAACTAAAATGAAACACAGCTTCCCTTCCCCAGAGGGTCTCACTTGTTCCTTTTCTTGCCTCCATTCCCTCTGCCCCTTGCTTTCCCCCCTGTGCTTTTGACTTTTCTTCTTTTTCCTTCCACCCACAGGCACTCTTGAAATAGCCTCAAATGGGAGAGTGAGATCAGAAATATGCCTGTGGAACCCTCTACACGTGGATCTGGCAGGCATTCAACACAAACGCAATTAGAGGGCTTACCCTTGCATGAAATATTTGCTTTCCTGATAGTCACCAGCATTAAACTTCAAGAATGCCAGGGCATAGTGTTTCTATGTCAGAGCTGGGATCCTCTACTTCTCTTTCTTCAAAGTTATTATTTTTGAAGTTTGCATATGGTATTTAAGTCCCACCAAACAATAAATAGTAAAGCATGAATTTTATTAAAATCCTTCTGAAACAACTTCATTTGCCATGGGTATTCTTTGACCAGGGTCTGAGAAGGTACAGCATGCACACTCACCCAGAGGATCTTAAGAGCATTGTTCATGCATTCACTCAATGCCGAATGCTAGAGTGTGCTACGCACTGGGCTTACATAAATATAAAGCCCCGAATCTCACCTTCAATGATGGATGCAGACAACTAACCAGGAAATTGCAGAATAATTTCTAAAGGTACTTGATCTTCTTTATCCCTCCATCCTGTAGAATCTCCATAAATAAGGGAAATTTAAATAAGAATATTTATTTTTCCTCTTAATACTATTACATTGGTGATTAAGTTTAAACATATGAACTTTGGGAAACACATTCAGACCATAGCACTAGTCTCCAAATAGATGGAGCACAATAACACTTCTTAAATTGACATTTTAATCATAATATATATAGTGCTAAGAAATCTTATGTAGTATTAAAGCATATGTAGAAGTCACCGATCTTCTTCAAAACAGAGAATAAAGTGGAAATGTAAGTAACTTTTGTTGAGTGTTCACAATGTACCAGACATACTGCTAAGGACTTTGCAAACATTAAGTCGGGCGTCCTCAAACTATGGCCCAAGGGCCACATGTGGGTGTTTTTGCCCATTTGTTTTTTTACTTCAAAATAAGATATGTGCAGTGTGCATAGGAATTTGTTCATAGTTTTTATTAAACTATAGTCCAGCCCTCCAACGGTCTGAGGGACAGTGAACTGGCCCCCTGTTTAAAAAGTTTGAAGACCCCTGCATTAAGTCATCTAGTCTTCAGGTGACCTTGTGAGAAAAGGAAACATTTTATAGATGAGAAAACTGAGTCTTGGAAAAGCTAACAAACCTGTCCAAGATGACATCTAGTAAGGGGTGTATGTTAGTTTATTGTGGCTGCTATAATAAATTACCACAAACTCAGTGGATTACAAGTATAGAAATGAGAAAGAATACTCTTGCATTATTGGAGACCTAAATTCTGAAAATAGTATCAGTGGGCCAAAACCAAGGATGAACGGGCCCACGCTATTTCTAGAAGGGGAATCTGCTCTTTGCCTCTTCCATTTTTTTGGTGGTTGCTAACATTTCTTGGCTTGTGGACACATCATTCTCATCTTCAAGGCCAATGTCTTCAAATTTCTCACTGCCCCATCTTTTTACATTGCCTCCCCCTCTATATGTGTGTCTAATCTTCCTCTTTATCCCTCTTATCTCACTTGAGATAGCGTATGTCAGTTTGTTAGGGTAGCCATAAGGAAATACCACAAACAGGGTGGTTTAAACACCATAAATGTATTTTCTCACAGTTCTGAAGACTGAAGTACAAGATCAAGGTGTCAGCAGATTTGGTTTCTTCTGGGTCCTCTCCTCTTGGCTTACAGAAGGCTGCCTTTTTGCTGTTTCTCCACAGGCTATTTCCTCTGTGTGAATATATCCCTGGGGTCTCTTTCTGTGTGCCAATCTCCTATTCCTATGAGACCCTTAGTAGATTGGACTAGAACCCAACCCAACAGCCTCATTTTAACTTAATTACCCCGTTAAAGGCCCTATCTCCAAATATGGTCATATTCTGAGGTACTAGTGTTAGTTTTTCAATATATGAATTTTGGGGGGTACACAATTCAGTCCATAAAAGGGGTTCCTTGGGTAATCCAAAATAATCTCTTCATTTCAACATCTTTAATGTAATCACTTCTGTGACAACTTTGCCTTATGAGGTAACATTCACAGGTTTCCTGGAATAGGATCTTGCATCATCTGAGGGCCACCATTCAGCCCCACACAAGGTAGATCTGCCACCTGTGCAGGCAGTCAGTGTGCAGGGCCTCTGCTCTTGGCCATTATGATGGACTCCATCTCCAATATGTGACTTTTATCTAGAAAGAAAGAAAACACTGTGGAGAAGAACTTTAACAAAATGCTGGACTAAGATAAAAAGCTGGTTGTAACTACCAACTATTTTAAGGAAGAGAGAGAGAAAATTGTGGGAAGGATAGTTGCCCTGTGGTTTAGAGTGTGGTGTAAATAGTGAGATCTGAATTTGGAGCCCAGGAGAGGGCAGGAAACTATCACAGTAGCTTATTCACAAGTGATAAGGGTCCAAGCCAAGGCAGTGGTGAAGAGAGTGGAGGAAGAAATGCCAAGGCCTGTGACTGAATGGATCAGAAAGACAACAGAGGTGGAGGAAATGTTCACTCATTCAACAACATGTATCAGCACCATTCGATCCCAGTCACTGCTTGGATCCAAATATGGAGAGTTAACTTGCGATTCTTAACTTCCAATTGTACATTGTATGATAAAAAGTGAGAACGAATAAACAAATGATGAAAACAGAGTGCGATGAGAATTTCAGAGCATGTGGGAACATGGTACACAAGCACTGTGTGGAATGAGTGTGTATGTCAGGGAAGGACATTTTATGTTGGGTTTTTCCAGAAGGTGCCCAAAGATTCCTGTTCAAGTAAAAGGTGAGACAAATAAACACAAGTAGGGGAGTAGAGAACTGAGTCAGTAAAGAGAGGGAAGCCAAGGAAGGATCTTTTTCCAAGCAAGTTATCAACATGAGTAACTGGAGCTCAGCCCTGCTAGAGCACCCTGAGAGCAAGTACAGAACACACTTAGTTATCCCACCCAGGAGTAAGGGAGCTGGGAGATTTCTATACAAAAATCTCAGTGAAAAACTAGAAAACTGAGTTGTTGTAATTGTCATTGAGGTGTCATAGTATCTTGCTAAGAAACAAACACTCATATTTTACATTTAAGTCTTACTTTAGTGGCCCTTAAATAAGATTTCAGTAATGGTGAAGTGTTCCTTTGTCCTATCATCAGGGAAAAAAAAATATTCACTAATACTCAGTGGGTCAGGAACATTAAATCCAATAATCATGTATTGATCTAATACAGTCTCTGCTCCTTAGCATTAAAGATATATGTAATTTATTTTTCCTATTCCCTAAGATGCTCCCTACCTGAAATCTAGATTTGCCATCTTCTATACTGCAGCAGTTAATGAGTTGACTGTGCAAATCAGGCAGCATATCTCTCAGTTAATATTCACTTCTCTTTTACCTTATCCCTCCAGAGGTTCTGTGGAAGTCTTTTTCCTTCTTTTCCAGATGAAAGCCTATTCCACAATATGACACATAAAAGTTTAAACTGGATTTCTACATAGGAAGTAAAAATATCCATTACACTTATGGAGAGGCATCTCATTTTCCGCTTGAGCTGTGGCTTGTTTTTCTTGAAGCAGCATATAATTCACTCAGAGCTTCCCTGCATGGGTGCCTCCCTTCACTCATGACTTCCCACTCCCTTATATTGCCCACACTTCAGTGACTTATCAAACCATTAGAGGGCTATACCGTCAGAAATCTTATCACCTGCACTTTTTATGGACTGTTTAGTAATGAAAATAGAGAGGAGTTTGAACTCCCTGACATGGAAACCTTCAAGAAGCTATGGAATGTGGTCACTGGTATTTCTGGTATCTTTTAAATGTCAAGAGAGCAGAATTTCTCTTGTCAGTTGTCACAGCAAGGCTAACAATTAAAGCCATCTGCTCTTCATTTCACTCCCCAAGGGCATCTTTCATTTTTCACCAACTTCCTGTTGTTGACAGCACAGTTCCTCCCAGTTTCTCTCTGAAACTGTGAGGTCACCAGGAGGCTCAGACCATTCAGGGAACTGCTGCTCTAGCTCCAACCCCCAGAATGCCCGTTGCCTCAGGGGCCTCTGCAGGGACGTAGACCCAGAAGGACGTGGCATCAGGAAGCACGTGGGCTCTTCCCCAAGGGATGCTGGTGAAAGGTGGGAATACTCCTGCCAGGACCACCTCACAGCCCACCCTGCTTTGTCTTCTTTCTTTCAGAAGAAAAGAAAGGAAGATATAGTGAGAGGGGGGAAAGAAATGGAGGGAGGGAGGGAGAGACAGAGGACGGGAGGAGAAAAGGAAAGGGAGAGAACTAGGAAAAAAGGAAAGGAAAGGAAGGAACAGGGAGAAAAGAAAGGCATGTCTGCATTCTTTTTAAATTCAGGCTCATCACTCTATTTGTTAGTGTGAAAATATCTCCAACCACAAATTCTACATGTCTTGATTGCAGTATTTGTCTTAGAAGGATGATGGCAATTGATAAAGAACACAAAGTATATGGAGCAAGTTTATAGATTCCATAGACTGTTTAAGAAATCATAAAGGTGAACTGACTGTAATTGATTGAAACCAATGATTTTGCTTCTTAATGTACTTGGGGAATTGGATAAAGAAAATGTGGCATACATACATGGAATACTCTGCAGCTATAAAAAAGAATGAAATCATGTCTTTCATAGCAACATGAATGAAATTGGAGGCCATTATCTTAAGTGAAAAGACTCAGACACAGAAAGACAAATACCACAGGTTCTCACTTATAAGTGGGAGCTAAATAATGTGTATGTGAGCAGAGTATGGAACGATGGACAATAGACTCAAAGCGGGGGGTGGGAGGTAGTGAATGATGGCAGGTTGTTGGTGGGTACTATGTGGGTTGCTTCAATGATTTATGCACGGAAGGCCCTGACTTCAGCACAATGCACTTTATCAATGTAACAAAATTGCCCTGGTATCCCATGAATATATGCAAACAAAAAGTAATGGGAAAATGTACTCAAGGGTCAATCATTTTGCTATTGTTATGATAGTCCCACAGAACAATGAGAAAAACAATCCCATCACTAAGAAAAATTATCTTACAGTTCTGGGGATAGATTTTTTTTAGGTCTGATATCCAAGGTCATTAGATATTATACACTTCAAAAACTTGTGAATTCATAATGCCAAATTTGAATGCACTTATTTATCAACACAATCTAAGAAAAAACAAAGACTCTAGAAATCTGTTGGAATCAAGAACATGTATAGATAGAGAAACAGTAATTATTTCAAATG